CTCGTCGTCCTTTGGAACGTGCCACAATTTCTCAATAGTGGCGAGAAGGAAACTGTAAACCGCATCACAGATGGTGGCGACCTATTCCAAAAATGTCAGATATATTATATCCGTCGAGAATCGACATCAACTTACTCGTTGGAGGTTAGGGTCCTTGTATGTCTCGCGCTTGGGATTTTCGACGACGTTGTACAACCTATTATCCGGACGCATGTGGGTGTCGTTCAACAAATCGCGGAAAACGGCATAGTGAGACTTCTCAAGCTTGGCAGGATCGTCGAAGTCGTCGCCAGAACCAGCACCTTCACCCTGGTCGACGATAATCTGGATGGCCTCCTCAGCCGTGGCGAGGTTCGTGATGACGACGGATCCTCCGGCGTCGGGAACACGGGCTTGGTAGCCCATACCAGGAGAGAATTGATAAGGTGCACTCTCTGGCTTCCAAAGGTCGTCGGGTTGCGTCTTATTCAGGTACGCCAGACCTAGAGGGTGTGTCAGAGTTCGAGCTGAAGGCTTTGTGGTCATTGTCGACTAACCTTCTCTGATTGCCGCGTAAAACTGGCCAAGGGTCTGGTATTGCTTAGCCTCGGGCAGAGCATTAACCGTTTGTGGCTCTTCGATCTAAAAACGAGTTGTAAGTGTCCTGGAGTAAGAGGCACACCAAATAGCATACCATCGTAAACATCGTGAGGGCGATAGTATCAAGTTTTCTCAAACTCAATTCAAGCTTGGGAACACGACCAAGCATGGGGCTTGGGTACTTGGGAACATATCCGGACTTGTACAGCTCGGGCTTTCCGCCAACTGCAAGTAATAGATTTCCGACTAAGCTGAGATGGAGCATCTCCTCTGCGACAACACCTATCGGATTCGTGTCAGTAAAAAGTAGGCACCCTAAGATCGAAGACAATCACCTCGGACAGCACCAGCAAGGGGATCATAATACTGCGGATCCTTAACAAACTCATCTGGTGTCTTGACGCTATACATCGCATATAAGTAAACCGGAATGGTCTGTAATTCGACAAGCATCGCAGTTTGAAGATGCTCGCGAAGACTCTCGATCGTATGAATAGCGGGGAGATTTTCCTTCGCATCACGGTGAGGGAAGTTGATCAAGTCTCCGTGCTTGATTGGAGCTTTTTTAAGCAGCGGCTGTTCAGTGGAGATCCTCTCTCTTTCTCTTTCCACAAATATAGGTTGCTTTTGATGATCGATATACCCGTCAAAAGGCTCTTGAGTTATAAAGCCGAGCTTCGTCCAATTCCGAACGAGATCTATGTTCGCAAAGTAGGGTTGGTCCGGGTAGGTATCTAAAATCATTTTAGTCGTCGTGTCATTGGGAAGAGAAAGAGTTGTCGTACCAGCGTAATTCTGGCGAAGGCCTCGAACCCATGCCGCTCGCTTGCTAAGGGCGGCAGCGAGCTCATCGCGGCTTGCACCTGGGTTCCCGGCCTTGGCGGTATCCCACTGGTTCTCAGTAACCACCGAATCAGGGCGCGAAGAGGGCCACCTATTGAATATGCTCAGTGATACTCTAGACTTAGTGTTGACGTTTGACATACCAATGTGTCTCGCAGCGGTAGAAATCACCTAAGGGTCCACCATGAGCCAGGGAACTGACGCAAGAGCTTTTTTAAAAACTTACTTTGCCAAGGCAGCGCGAGCCATCTGGTCAGATCGCCAGAGGGTAGCTTTTCATTGAGAGAGAAGCGAGAAAATGGCCTCGTGAGGTCGTATGCGTTATCTAACACCAGGTTCCAGGAGGTTTCGATACCGGGGTACAGTGGCGAGCCGATTGCGTGCTCTAATGTCGCTTTGGCCAAAGCTGCTGGCTGGTCTTTTATATCGAGCGAGCTGATGCTCTTGGGAGGAGTCTTTGGAGGTTTTCCGACTTGGAAATCACCTTCGGCCCATTTCTTCAATCGGTCGTACTGCAATTCTGTTATAGCCGAGAAGCTGTCGACGTTTCCAGGAGTTACGTCGTCTTTCGGAAGAAAATGTAAGTTTCACATCACTCGATGCATTAGTAGAGACTTACCATCATCCCCAGAAAGCCACGGCATGAAATAGGTGTAAGCCTGTCCTTGTCGGGCAACCTCGTATTTGTTGTCAATGGTCTCAGGTAGACGCATTCTTCCTAGTACACCGAGCCGAAGGGGCTTCTTTTCCTCAGAGGGATCGGAGAGGATCGATTGCCACAGCGGAGAGAAGAAGTTGCCATTTGCTCCCGGACCTGAGTACATCGTGAACGCACATACTTTTAGAGTGAAAAGGAGACGGACCATGACCCCCGTTAATAACAACGTTTGTCCATGCAAGGATGGAGGGGCGCTGGAGCAATGGCCAGATGTGTTCGTAGTACACGACGCGACCAACGTTATAGCTTTCCTTCTTACGCTTTGGTTGTTCATACATCTCTTCAACAACGTCGTATAACGTGGTCGGGGAGATAATACCAGGGGTGAAATCAGGGGGACCTGCAATGAAACGTGCTCTGTTCGCCACGGGAAGCCAGCTACACAGGAAAATATTATGTGAGGGGCAGATCTGCGCTGTTGCGAAGTACTTACGGTCCACCATTCTTCCGAACCTGTGCATCCACCCAGCCGTCTGAACTATCATCGACCCAGTCGTCGTTGTCAAATTCTGTATAAAGGGGCGGCCATTGGCTCTCGGGATCGGGAGCGTATTTCGACTCTCCGCGACCACCAAACAGAACCAATCGACCTTCTTCATCTGTCCTCGCTTCACCAAGGTAAACGCTAATCGGTTCTTTGCCAGATCCCGTATATTTCCCTGAGAGCTCGACGGTTTTCTCGTTGACCCCTGCAATGGTGTGGGTGCCAGTATTGATGATCAGCAGATTTCGCTCCTCAGGTTTAAGCTATAAGTGATGTTAGAAATTTTGCGGTGGAGTGACAAAGACACGGTTACATCTCCTTGGACGCTCGGATTTCTGAGTTGGGCGAAGCCAGGCTGAAAAGCACCAGGCTGTGTTCGCTCTACGCAGATATGTCAGGAATGTTCAGAAGACGGATAAGTTTAACCAACTCATGAACTTGTAAGACGATGCCTTCTTGTTCGCGAGCTCAAAGCGCCATCTGACTTCGTATCCATTGGCATGATTAGCTTCTTCGAGAGCAGTGCCTTTTGCGTCTAGGGCATAGACACGAAAGCGAACAGCCTGTCAGAAGCTTGAGCACTGATTCAACAATGAGAGCGAAGAGCTTACTTGTCTCTTGACACCGCCATCTTCGTCCTTGAAGCCACCTTCAGGACGCTCAAAACGACCTGGGACTTCAGGTGCATAGTACCAGCCCTTCTGATAATCGGGGTTGGTCGAATTACCCAGACGACCGACACCAAGAGGAGGGAAGATTTCGAATGATTGGGCCATGGTAGGAGACATAGCTTCGTATTGTCTCTAGCTCTTGTTTCCGGGTTTTATGCAGCCCAAGGAGACCCTGCTCTAGATAGAGATCGACCTGAAAATGGATCCGCGCATTCAATAAGAATATCCGTGCCTTGTTATCAGAGATATACCCATACTCATTGTAGCCACGCAAGATGGATAATTCCGACAGTGACAGTCTCCTCACTGCGCCTACATTCCAAGGTAAGGCACCAATCTCACCACCTGAAAGATCGAATACTTCCGTTCCGTATCGGAAAGAATGATTGACGGACAGGTGTATTTCCTACAATGCGACCCAATCAGAACCTGTTGATTATACCAGAATATGTCCCTACCAAGAGGAATGCGGGAATTGCAACTTCTTTGTGTTCCCAATCCGCAAGGAACCCTTATGGCAGAATATGCGATCAGGTCTGCTGATAAGATGCAGATTCATGGAAACAAGGCCCAGAAGGCACGACTTGGTTCATGTGGTCCATTCACACTGTCAACTTGACAGGATTTGGCAATACGGCTGCATGGCATCCTAGTTTGCCTGTGATTGAGAAATGAGCTGGATGAATGGTTTCCTCGAGACCTATTAGGCTTACTCGAGAGATGGCGAAGGCGGATGAGCGACGTTGAGGCTCAAACGGAACCAAAACAGACGCTGGGACACAGAGCTGCCAAAACACCCACGTTCCACTCTGCTCAGGGCGGCTACCTTTTATGGTAACCGGCGAGATTGCCCTCCGACGTACGTTCGTAAAATCGATCGGTGCTTTCGGAGAGCACCCAAAAATATCCAGCTCGAAGCATCGATCATTCTATAACTCGGATTATCTGTTGCCATCGCAGGACCGCTGTTCTTCCAGAGCTAACATTCTAGCCCCAGAATGCTTCTAAACCATCCGAGTCGACGCCTGGTCTTGAGAAACACGAGGAATACTGTAATTTCGAAGAGATCTTTCTGATATTCGACCAATGGATTCCGTCATCGTGTAACCCACAACATTAGTGCCCTTCACCAAGCTATTCCAAGTACCAATCCAATGCGAACTTTCGTGGTGAACAATAACTTGTGAACCCAAGGCCTTCACTTGGGACACTATATTTGGGGATCTGACAACGAACAACCGACTCTCGGAATCTCTTTTCGCCGAGCGTAACGCAATCTCATGCAGGGCAGTCTTACGTCCAATGTGTAAGCCTTCATAAAGTGATAATAATGACAAGTCAGAGAACAGGTTGCCATTGCTCCCGAGGTGGAGAAGTCCTGAAAAATCCTTGGCAAATACTGTACGTGACGGTCTGTTCAGGCAGAATAATCGTATGATGAGAGCATGCGAAGGCCTACAGCAGGATTTACGATGCATCCCAGCCCAGGCCTGGGGGGATTGCTTCCTACGAAGGGACCAAGGCTCCGAATCCCTCCCAGCGAGTGATGCCGATATATTTAGCATGGTTCTTTTGTTACAGCAGATTGGGGTTTAAAAGCTCACTCACACCTGATCATTGTTATTCAACCTGTTGAAGACTTGAAGCTGGTTGACACGATGGCAAGTGTCAATTCTGTCAAAGTAACATCTGAATTTCTAGTTAGACACTGGTGGTGAAGTGGAATCACACTTACTTCCTAGCGAGGGACTTGGGTCCCTTTCTGCCATAAGAGGCGAGGGTTCGAATCCCTCCCAGTGTGTGGAGCGCCACATGAGGTTTTTTTTACAGATCAAGTCAATCAGGGAACGAAGATTTATCTATACCGGAATTCGTTTGCATCGACAGAGAATCCAGACCCTATCATCGGGTCAAGTGTCGATATTTTCGAATTTCAGATCTACAAGATTCTATGGATGATTCGAGGTAACAGGAGGGACAGGTTAGTCGGCTATCTTGACAACGACCTTCCCTTGTGCATGTCCGGACATAGACCTGTCATAGGCCTCTAGCACATTGTCAAATTCGGTGACAGAGTCGACAACAGATCTGAGTTTCCCTGTGTAGGAGTCAGCAAGAAAAATCCACGCGATGGCAAGCGACGAACCTGCTTCACAAAGCTCACGAAGTTCATCGAGATCTCTCTGGTTGGTTTGCATGACTATAAACTTATAACCTCGCGGCACACCACCAAGCCAGGCAGGACGAGCGACGGCAACAGCTGTTTTGAAGGCAAGCCAGAGTTGATTCGCAGAGAACGACTTGGGTTGGGGGCCAGTAGTTACGAAAACGCCTCCAGGTGCCAAGTAGGCAGGGCTATGTGTATACAGCGACGGGTCCAAGAGACCAACCGCGTCCAAAATGATATTGAACTGTGGGTCTGGAGGGGAGCGAGTCAAGATCTCATGCAACGGCGCAGCGGTGTAATCAATCGTCTAAGGATAGCAGCTAGGTCTCAAACTTGATCATAGGAAACCATGACTACGCACCTCGTCCGCACCCAAATCCTTCATCAACGAATTGTGTCTCGGCGAGCAAGTCACCACGACCTTCGCACCTTTTGCCTTCGCGATTTGGATCGCATACATCCCAACGGCAGTACTCCCGCCGTTGATTAAAATGCATTGATTCGCCTCAAACCTAGTAAACGTGGACAATGCCTGCAAGGCGGTTTGCCCTGCTAGCGGAATGCCTGCCACATCCACAGGGTGCTTACCCGCAGGGCGAAGGGCTAAAGCAGAGGAGGGAACCCGAACATACTCAGCCAACGTTCCTTCTCCAGAATTCAATGCAAAAAAGGGGTCGAGGCTGCCGAAGACGAGGTCGCCTCGCTTAAAGGTTGTATCGCCGTGGTCGACGACAACACCAGCAAAGTCGTATTCGGGAACGCTAAGCTTGGCACGCGCCAACTGAGGTAGCACGCCCATTGATTTCCATCCACTAATCGCGTACGTTAGCATCATAAACGCAAGGAATCGCCAGCAGGACTTACAGTGGATTCAGTGCCGCAGCTTGAATCTTCACTAACGCCTGTCCCGTTTCGAGTTTTGGGACAGGGCGATTCTCGTGTAAGCGAAGAGCTTGGCGAGGAATACCCAGTTTCTCGATGACCCAAGCGCGTTGCGTGGTTGGAATGGTTTCGTCTTTTTGCGACATTGAAAGTTGTGGTAAGGCGAGTGTAACCCGGGTGGCACCGCAAGATACCTGTCTTCGTCATCGATCGGTGACGTGGTGACGCAAAAGGCCAACACGATCGATCGGGGAGGCGAGATCGAGTCTCCTGGGATTAGTGGTAACCTATTCCAAAGTCAGTCGGGAGGTACATGGCTAAAATGGAGTTAGTTTGGAAGAAAGGGAAAAGGAACGGAGGTTGAATTAACACGGTCGAGAATTGGCCGTGTAAGTGAGATTCAGCTTGCGGTGGAGAAACCAACATCCGTTCAACGAAAGCATTGGAAAGAAACACCAAACACAAGGTACACTCGAGTTGTACAATAATCTAGCCCAAATCATGCATTAGCGCGTTGCTTTAAAAACGAGATCGTGAAGAACCAAAACCCAGAAAAGTACCATCCCACCCCCCAATCCTCCTATCATCATAGGTTATCATAATGTCGTGATCCGGCCTCATTCAGGAATAAAGCATCAAACTGTCGAGGCGTTTGACCAATAACACCAAATGCGTCTTGCAAAGTACGACCAAGGTTCTCCAATTCCACCGTCACACCTTTCATCGTCAAGGCGTACGCGAAGAAGAGTAGTTGTCGGGACCCTCGGACTTCACGGCTCCGTACAACATCGAGCCGACGAATGGCATTAACCTAGGGTGAAGTCAAAGGCAATGAATACCAGCATCTAACTCATAAAAAGCAAGATCGTACCAATCGTTCCCGTGCTTTTTCTGCAGGAGGGAGGTATGGTGGCAACGGAGCCTTAAGCAAAAACGCCGAAGCCAACAGTGAAAAGCTCAGAATGATATTCCCAACCATTTCGCGTCGCTCCTTGTTAACAGGAACGATAAAGTCTTGGCGGACACTCTGGCAAAAAAAGGCGCTTGAGATACGCAAAATTTGTCAGGAAAGGATGATACATACCGTATACCATTCCTCTCGAGTCGTGACACACCGCATACTATGCAGCTTGTCCAGAATGGTTTGCAAACTCGTCAGAATATTGCGGTATAGTGCCACGGGGAATGGACCCTTCAAACGTGGTTCGTGCTGAGCTTGCGCGAGTAAGCCCTGGAGTTCGATAAGCTTGATTTGCAAGTGTAACTCCCTGCAATTGCCCGAGGTCAATTTTAAGGATGCCGTCAATGCGAAGAAAATACGCACATTGCCATGAACTCTTGAATGGAATTGCTCAGCATCGTTTGCGCAGGTCTCGAGAGCGTTGAGGCCCCGGACGTAACATCATCCCCTTCGACCCTCGGTTCGGGAGCAAACGAATTGGAAGCCACTAAACGCGTGTAGAGCCATCCAATATTCAGGCAAAATTCTCCAAGGGCCTGTCCTAACTCTCTTCGAGCCTCTGCAGGCCACCAAACACGAGAGACTATGGCAGCCCAGGCAACACCAATGGTAACAGCCAAAGCACGATGTAGGGCCACGTCAACGACGGACACGGGCACTTCACTGTCTCGCGCGTTGTAACTACGAGGAGATCAGTGATGAGTCATACAATGAAAGAAGAATCCACACCAATAAAGACATGTCAAATTATAAGTCAAGAGGACGAAACGAGATGCAGACAGGTACTGAGGCCTTGAAACAGCTGCATAAAAGCATGGTATGGAGAAGAAAAACCCAAAGAGAGATAGGACGACGGGATCATCCGGGCAGACGGAATATACTCCCGCTGCAACTGCTGCCCCAACCCTGCATATATTCATCAGTCAAGGATGTCAAGTGACGCATCATACACGTACACAGTTCCAGAGATACGCTGCAACCCGAGGTAGTTCGTCTACAGCAATGCAAAAGTCAAAACCGACCAGGCAAACCAAAAGATTTCCAACTTACAGCGCCGATCGTAGGAGAGATGACAACAAAGAACTAAACAAGATTAAATCAGTGTCCAAGAAACCGCGATAGATGCATACCGAAATTAAAGCCCAATCGCCCCAAAAGTCAACGAAAATGCCACGAGTCTGTTCAAAAAAAGCTGGGGCTGCTAACAACGCAGTTGCCATACCCGCCTTGAGGGCATACTTCATATCGCGCTCCCCCAACCGCTTCCCTAATGCCCAAAGTCGTTGACCCCAACGACCGACAAAATTGAGATCTGACCGAGGTGGTGTTTGTATTGTGTTGGGAGCATGAGGGCTTATCTTTGGGAAGGCGGGAGGTGTGTGACGATGAGGAGGCATGATATATGTGGCTGGAATGGCACTGCTTGAGTACTAGAGGTCCAATTCGAAAGGTCAAACACGTACAGAGACTTCGCTTTAGTCCGGGTCTATCACGTTTCGTGTATTCATAGTTCTCCGAGTCTTTTCGCCTCAAGCCACAGCAAGTGGTAAGCGCATTAAAGATACGCCTCCGAAGAGATCGTAAAGCACGGCGCCACCAGCCGAAAGAGTTGACGCGTTGCTGTTCATACGCATATACCCTCCCCATAGCATCAACCAACGATGCTAATTCTCTCGAAAATTCCTGTAAGGTAAAGATGAAGCTTCACCGTTATCAGCAAGAGTAGACCAAGACCACACAAGACGAGACTCACAAGTAAACGAGGAAAATTGACTCGCTTTCAGGACTCGTATAAGACTGGTCTTGCCCTACTTCTGAACCTTGTATACTTCCACTGACACTAGCGCTCATGTGACTGTGATTTGCATCACTGCGTCGATAAAGCCTCAACACGGCATGGTTACTTGTACTTTCAAATCGGGTAAGAGCCTTTTCGATTTCTTCAGCAAGTTCGAAGAACTCATGCGGCTGGATGGTACGGTGTCTTCTGGTGCGTTTTGAAGGGGATGAACCTGAGGTCGGTTCTCCGGAGAGAATAAAAGTTTCTCGCAGTCGAGTAAGTGAGTTCGTACATGCACCCTAGAAAAGGGCTCAATAGCAAGTCCGCCACAAGGTGATAGGGACTTACTGAAAGTGCTTTTAACGGGGGTCCAAGTTCTTCGACAAAATCTCCGAACATAGCCGCGGCTGCTTTGAGAAGAGCTGTATCTTCATCATCTTCCTCAACAACCTCCACTTGGGTGTTCTTTTGTTTCCCTCTTTTGCGCGATAGCACTCCAGCGCGTGCTAATTCGTTTTGCAAACCAGTCGAACTTCGCAGCCCATTTAGATGTTGTGCAAGCCGATTCATAGAATCGACAGCATCCTCGTAGGCTTGCCGACTCCCACCACTACCAATGAAACCCAGGATGGAGCCGACGGGCTCGGAGCCATTGGGACTCAAGTCACGTTCACCGGTCGCCCGGAAAACCCATTCTGACTTTGCTTCGGCCAAACTCTTCTTCAAGCTTGTAAAACTGCTTTGATGCCCCTCTACGGCCTTCTTGATCTTCTCGTAGTTGAACTTCCTGCTTTTGCTACGTGGAACTGCACCCTCAGGTATGGGCCCACGTTCACCAAAGTCGCCCTCTCCCAAGAAGGTGTTAACGAGCATGCCTAACAAGACGTTGAAGCTTCCAAGAGTATTTTCCATGTTTCGACGAAGACCATCGGTAGCGCTTTGAGGCCAAAGAATGAAGCAAACCAAGTTCGAAATGACGGCTCCCAAGCCGACGATAGTGCTCACTTGGAG